CCGGTGCGGGGATCCTCGTAGACGGCCTTGATGGTTCGCCTTGCGGCGTCGCCATGTTTCTTATGGGTTCTTCGGCCCCCGCTGGGCCTGCCAGGCTTCCACCTCGTCCAGCCGTGCCTGGAAGCCTTGCACACCCCCCAGAGCACGCTGGTGAGGTGAGAGTAGTCGAGGGTGACCATCTCCGTGCCGTCTTCGTTCCTGCGAAGTCGTTTGACGCGAAGCCAGCCTCAGGTCCTCGTTCATGTCCGGGCGCTTGTACCTCCACGGAGTCGAACAGCTGCTGGAGCTCGCCACGTCGGCCTCGGCCATCTCCGTTTTCACCCTGCTGTCAGACAAATTTGTGAAGCTCGTGTTGCAGACCACGTTGCCCGTGTTGCCCGCGATCACGAGGCAGCCGGGGTTCCTCTGGTTCGTGGTCAAGGACAGCTGCGTCGAGAGGCTCTTCGTCTGCACCAGCGCCTCATCGTTGATCATGATGAGCTCGCACTGGTGCGTCCCGCCGTCCCGCTCCAGGAAGACCCTGGCGCTCTGGTTGCCCAGCAGCCGCAGCTCCAGCCGCTGTCGGAGGCCGCGCTGTTGTTGGAAATCTGCAGCTTGCTCCAGCCCGCCCAGTTCTTCGTCAGGAAGAGATCGTCCGAGAAGTCGGAGGTGTTGGTCACGGTGAGCGTGTTGGAGGCGAAGAGCTGCGGCGCGGAGACCGTGCCCGAGCTCGTCACGTCGCCGCAGACCACGCTGCCCGTCGACACTCCGCCGCTCGTGGCCGTGAAGGTGCAGTCCAGGCTCTCGCAGTCCAGCGGGCCCGTGGAGGCCGCCCCGGTGATCGTCAGCGTGGCGCCCGTGAGCGCCCCGGTGGCTGCGAAGCTCGCCGCGGTTGCTGCGCCGAGGCCGTCAGTGTGCCCGTGGACACGTCGCCCACCGTGGTGAAGTTCCCGGCGTTGGCCGTGTTGTTGATGGTGAGAGTGCTGCCCGTGATTCCTGTGGCGGAGCTCAGCAGGCCCACGCTGGCCGCGCCGCTGATGCTCAGCGAGCTGCCTGACACGGCGCCTGTGGACGACAGCGTGGCTCCGGCGACGGTGCCGGTGGCTGTGAGCGCTGCGCAGGAATTGGCGCCCGAGGCGTCCACGCCCGTCGTGAACACGTCCGTGCAGTTCACGTCGTTGCACAGCAGCTGGTCGCAGCCCACGTTGCCCTGCGCGGTGAGCCCGTCCAGCGTGGCCGAGCCCGTGAGGGCCAGCGAGTCCGCCAGCAGGTCCTTCACGGAGACCGACTCTCCCTCGAAGGCCGAGGCCCTGATCTGCATGCTGTACAGGTCCAGCGTGCCCGCCGACTGCTGCACCAGCCCGGGATAGACCCGCCGAAGGCTCCGAAGTGCAGCTTCGCGATTCCGCCCGGCGGCACCGAGAAGTCCAGGCGCGCCGTGCTCCAGACGCCCTGCGAGGGCGTGCCGAGGAAAGTGCCGGTGACGCCCACGTAGTCGTTGTCGGCCGCGCTGACGTACATCACCAAGTTGGAGGCCGTGCCCAGCCTGTACCGGCAGCCGAAGGAGTAGCGTCTCCCCGGCGTCAGCGTGTAGGCGCGCGCGATGTTCGGGTCATGGCGTAGCCCTCCAGCTGGAAGCCTCCCACCGTGAAGCTGGCCGAGGCCACAGACTTGCTAGCCGGGACGCCAGCATCACGGCGCTCCAGGGGGCCAAGGCCGACGCGACGCTGCTGGCCTTCTCGGCCAGCGAGACCACGCTCCAGAGCGCCCTCGACGCAATCCTCGCGGTCGCCGCCCTGCAGCTTTCCGGCAGCGGCGGAGTTGTTAACGCGCCGGCCTGGGCGGGCTTCACGACTTGGGAGCTCGTTCGCGGAAGCAACGTCGTTCGCAACCTGCATCTGGGGGCTCCTCTCTCTGCTGCGCTGGCCAACACGCTGAGCATCACGGCAGACTGCTACTCCACGGCGGACACTGACGCCGCTATAACAGCAGCCTTGCTGGCCTACTACACCTCGGCGCAGGTAGACGCTGTTGGGAGACTACCGCACAGGGGCAGCGCAGGACGCGGAGACGACCAGCGCCATCACAGCCGCGCTGCTGGCCTACTACACCTCGGCGCAGGTAGACGCGCTGTTGGGAGACTACCGCACGGCAAGCGCGCAGGACACGCAGACGCAGGCCGCCATCACGGGCGCGCTGCTGGCCTACCGGACGGGCCCGGACCAGGACGTCTTCACGACCAACCAAATCACCTCGGCGCTGGTGGCGTACCGTTCAGCCGCAGACCAGGACACGGCAACGGCCTCGAGCATCGCAGCTGCTCAGCTACTACACCATCGCACAAGTATATAGACGGCCTCCTTGCCGGCAAGCTCGGAGTCACGGAGGCGGCCTCGGCGCTGCAGATAGCAGTGCGCTTTCCGGACGACGGAGGGGCCGACGAGGTGGTGGCCGCATAGGAGAGCAGATCCTGGCCCCCACGGACGTTTCGCCGCCAGGGTCAGGTGTAGCCGTCCACGCTCACTCCCGCGGCGCGCGTGGCCAGGACCACGCTGCAGCCGCTGCTGGGGCGAACCGTCCAGTTTGACGAAGCTGCACTTCGGTGCGCACTTCCAGGCGCCGGGCCTGCCCAACCAGACGGCTGGAACGGTGGACGTTTACGGCCTCCAGATCCTGGACGCAACCCTGGAGACCGGCAACACGGCGGAGGTGGAGGAGGACACAGCGGCTTCGGCACTGCTGCTGAAGCACGAGTTCCTCGACGGAGGGGCCGACGACGTCACGCTGGCCAATCTGGGCGAGGTGCTGCTGGAGCCCACGCTCACCACGCTAGGCAATTTTCTGGTGCGCTCCAACAGCCAGAGCGCTGCGCTGCGACGAAGGCCTCGGTGGCGAGACCCAGCAGGGCGTTTGCTATCTTGGTGTCTACCTCCAGCGGCGTGTCCAACCCATCCACCGTGGAGAGCAGGGAGGCCAGCTCGCTTGCGTCCGCCTTGCCAAGGAGGGCGGCGTCCAGGGCTGCCGTGGTGACAGCGTCCAAGAGGGCTGTCGCTATCTTAGAGTCCACCGCCGAGGAAGTGTCCACGGCCGACTGCAGGGCGTAAGCAGTCAGGGCGCTGGCGTCTGCCTTGGAGGCCTGCAGCCCCGAGATGGAGGCGTCTCGGCTTGCGAGCTCGGAGGCCAGCGCCGCGGCGGTGACGGCCCCCAGGAGAGCGTTGGCCACCTTGGTGTCCACCTCCAGCGGCGTGATCCTCGCCGCTATGTCTAGGGAGTGCTGGTCCACCACCGTCTTGAGGCCGTAGTTGGCGGCCGCCGTGGCCAGCGTGGCGTTGTTGGCCGAGGCGATGGAGCCGTTCATGGCCGCCGTGGTGCTGTAGTTGGACAGCTTCAGCCACGCCGTCCGGGGTGCTCTTAGGGGCCGCAATGGTGCCTTGGCCGCCGAGCGCGCTGCTGTCCAGCTTTGAGGCCAGCTCGGCGGTGACTCGGTCGTCCAGGGACTGGATGGCAGCGGCGTTGTTGCCGGAGGCTGCCGTGTTCACCGCCAGGTCAGCTACTTGAGCGTAGGGCGTCAGAGCGAGGGCCAGCTGTCCTGCTGTGACGTGCGTGCCGTCAGTTACCTCTCCGTTGTCCAGGACCTCCGGGATGTTGCCCGTGACAGGTCCTTCAAACATGTTTTCTTAGGAGTAGTCGTTACACGAATTCGTAACAATGGGGTGTTGTACTTTCGCAACGCGCCCTCACTTGAGTCGCTATGGGTCATTCGGGGCCTTCGTAGCGCAGGGTGGTATAATTACATATCAACTCGCAACAGCCCCTACCAGTACGCGAAGTGTGGAATGACGCAGTGTCCGATGGCGTCGGACACTGGGCATGAAGCGAGACCTCTGATGAATTGACCGATGGCGTCGGTCAAAACGCTTGGGACACCTCGGCCTCATGACGAGACCGGCAAAGGACACTTGTCTCAGCGGCTATGACCTGTGAAGCATTCATGAGCCAACCTTGTCCATTCATGAACCAACCTTGCCCATTCATGTCCAACCTTGCCCTTTCATGAGTCATTGATGAGTTACCCGGTTCCATTATTGACTCAAACTTGCCAAGAACCGAGTCCTCTTGAGAACTGGGGCGCTTTTGCGCACTTTTCGGCCCAAAGAGAGCGGTGACGAAGCGGTGACATCGCGGTGAGACCGTTTTTGGGCCAAAAAGCGCCGTTTTGGGACGGTAACAAGAGCCGATGGTGAGATGGCTTAGGCGTTGGTCTCCGGAGCGACGTTTCGGAGGTTCGATTCGACCCCGGTACCTCGGCGGGCTGACGTGTTAGACACCGCTGACATCGGCGGTGACTACTTCAGCAGGCTGACGTGTACATGGAAAACCTCGGCAGGCTGTCGGGCTCCGAGCCAGGTCCTCGGCGGGCTGCCGGGCCGCGAAAAACCCTGCGGAGAGAACTGGGCCCGGTTTTGCGCACTTTTGCACCCAAAAAGCGAGCGGTGACAAAGCGGTGACAAGCGGTGACAAGCTCGCTGGAATTCGCAGGCCTTTCGGGCCAGAAAACGGATTTCGGAGCACGGCAAACGCATGGAACCGGTTTTCGGAGGAAAACGAGCGAATTTGGAGGCCCAGGCACCACTTTCGACGCCGGACACGAAAAAACGCACTTTTCGGAGTTCGCCGTTTTCAGCGCTTTTTGCACCAAAAACGGAGTGGTGACAAGACCGGTGACATCGGAAAAACGTTCAGATGGTTGGAGAATTTGGCTGTTTTGCAGGGTTTTGGGACCCAAATCCGAAAATTAATTCGTCCGTCTTTCCTTACTACTAGCGTCCGGCTGGACATTTCTTTGCAATTGCCTTTGCGCTGCTTGGCCCTGCTTCTCCCAATGGAAAAACCCACTTCAAACCAAAAACGGCCCCCCAAACCCTGGAACATGGCCGGGCACCAACTTCCAAGTTGGCAACGTCCCCGCTGCACCAAGAACTCAAACACACAATTTGAGCCAGGCCCGCCTTATCTCCAACTGCTGCACCCTCGTCGCCTAGCAACACTGCAAACGCTTCCGCCTGTCTGGTCAGCTCGAAGCAAGTGCAACTCGTGAGCCTCTGCACCAGCATCCTCCACACCTGGCAAAGCCACGAAGAAGATACCAACCCTTGCAAGTTGCTGAGGTGCTGGGCCAAACCCCAACTGAGGAACCCCGCCACCTCTCGGGCGCGGGAGCGACATCGCAGCAACTTTACAGCGCATGGCGCTCCCCAGCCCGCCTGCAGCGCCATCACCTGCGTGCGCAATTGCGCACACAAGGCGCAGCCAAAAAGCAAGCAGCAACAGGAGCGTCTCCACCTCGGTTCTGAAGTTCCTCAACCGGCTTTGGCTTGCGCTTCCAGCCGGCTCAGTAGGCACGTCCTGCTTTCGGTTTGTTCTTGCTGCCAGGAGGCCGCAGCGTGTGGTGCCTCCTGCGCAGCGTACTCCTGCGCCTCTGGCCCTCTTGTTCGGTCGGCTCCATTTATTAGACGTGATGAAGATATGGACGAACGGCAAAGACGAACCTCAAAGCCGGACGACGTTGCCGTCCAGGTCGGTCAGCCGGAAGCGAAGTCCCGTCGTCGGAGCCCGTCTCCACAATGGTGCCCACGCCGCTCTTCAGCATGATCTTGGAGAGGATGTCGTCGCCCAGGTTGCCCAGCACTCGGCTGGCGTTGCAGCGCAGGTAGACCTCGTTGCGCGCCATCGGTCCCAGCATGTGGTCCACGCTGAAGGGCTTGGTCGGAGAGGCGGCCGGCGCAGAGGGTAGTCCGCTGCGTTAGGAAATTGCTGGCGCAGCTCAGCCGTTGCCGTTGTAGCAACGGTTGGAGCTGAACCAGGCGGCTAGCGGCGCCCGTGTACACGCCCTCTGGCAGGAGCGCCCAGTTCAGCGTGCCCAGCGGGCGTCGACCCAGCAGAGGTAGCGGCCCCGGTCCGTGGACAGGAAACTGTCGGCCAAGCGGATCTTGTAGACGGGCGTTGCTCTGCAGGTGCAGCGACTCTCCCAGGTCAACCTTAAAGTTTTTGGAAGCCACCCGTCCGGCGGACGACGGGCGGTGGACGGCTGCCACTGAGATGTTCTTACTTTGCGTTAATCAGCGTGGAGCTGGCGAAGCGCCGCTCCCATCGGTCTTTTTCAAGTGCGAAGCGCTCTTCGGAGCGCTTGTACCTCGGCTTCAGGTAGTAGACAAAGAGGAAACTGTAAGGTTCCCGCGTCGCCCCTCCAGCAGCAGAGGAACTGCATGTTCACCCGCACGGCGGCGCTGATGAGCCTCAACTTCTGGGAACTCACCCAGGTGCTGATCTGCGTGTGCCGGCCTTGGATGAAGAGATGTCAAGGGCGCCGTGAGGCTTGTGCAACTGCGGCGTGTCAGCAAAGTCGTCGATGACTACAAGCACCTGGTACAGTTTCTTCATTTCCAACTTCTTGGACGCCTCCGTGATCTTGCGCTGCTGGATGATGCGCCGCAGCGCCGCCTCGTCCCACTTGTCCCAATAGGTCTGCTCCCGCTCTGTGTTCACCCCCACAGGTCCTCCTCGATGTACTTCTTGACGGGGATCCAGCCGTCGTCGATGCTGAAGATGTAAATTCTCTCAAAGACGCCGCCCCAGAATCAGGCTGATCAGAGCCACGGTTTTGCCCGATTTTGATGGCCCGAGGAAAATGCCCGTGCATGGCACCAGGGGCACCACGGGGTCAGAGGGCTGCTTACTGCTATACTCTGTCGTAGGAAACAGCTTGATCTTCCCCATTCCTTTGCGTTACTTCCCAAATTTGAAGCCGGGAAGCCGGGCGGCGAGTCCGGGAAAAATGCCATTTACGGCATCGCAGCCGGAGTTTTCAGGGAGACGTGACAATCCTGTTGCCAGCGCAGGATTGAGTGGGGCAATCCTGTGCCCAGCGCAATCCTGTCTTGAGTGGGGCAATCCTGTGCCCAGCGCAGGATTGACGGCAAAGCGAGTAATGGTGAAAAAAAACACTCTGTCAGCGGCTTGGCGAGAAGCAGGCCGCTGACAGACCTTCGGCGCTGGCCCGGTGATGGGTTTTTCGGGCAAAATAGCGAAGTCGGAATTCCGACCAGAGCGAAGTCGGAATTCTGAGCGAAGTCGGAATTCCGACCTCGGGTAGCGCGGGCTCGGCAGGCTGGCTCCGATGCCGGGCAGGTGGCGCGGCCGGGTGGCTTCTATGCCAGGCAGGTGGCCTTGATGCCGGGCCTGAGGGGCTCTTATAGGAAGGAAGTCCATAGTTTCCTATGGGTTTCCTTTAGGTTTCCTATAGGCCTATAAGGGCCTAAAAAACTCCGAGCTGGCCGTGTGAGGCTGCTATGCCGGGCAGGTGCGATCAATGCCGGGCAGGTGGCGCGGCAGGATGGCGCAGTGCCAAGCCGCCGTATCCGACGCCGGGTAGGTGGTGCCGGGCAGGTCTTCAATGCCGGGCAGGTGGCGCGGCAGGGTGAGGCTTCTATGCCAGGCAGGTGGCGCGGCCGGGCTTCAATGCCGGGCTCAATATTGAATCAATTTTGAATCATCTTGAATCAACAATGGATCAATATTGAATCAATTTTGAATCATCTTGAGTCAGCAATGGATCAATATTGACAGGTCCGCCTCTCTCTTTAGAGGGAGTTTCCCAAATGGATTCTATTCCACCTGGTAGGCTCCTAGCACTCGTCCGTCCAGGAAACGACCTCGTCCTGCGAAGGATTCGAAACCTAAAACGCTGCGTGCAGGCGTGTGGCTGCAACATAACGACCCCGAGATATGCGCCGCAATTTGGCTCCAGGTTGCATTTCAAGCGAGGTCAAGCTTTGCGAAAGGAAACCCCTTTTCCCTTTTTTCGGGACCCCTTTTTGGGGGACCCCTTGTTTTCTTTTTTTTTGTTTTTTTCTTAGCCCTGCAAAGGTTGGCTCGCTTGAAATGCAACCTGGAGCCAAATTGCAAGCGTATCTCGGGGTCGTTATGTTGCAGCCACACGCCTGCGCGCAGCGTTTTAGGTTTCGAATCCTTCGCAGGACGAGGTCGTTTCCTGGACGGACGAGTGCTAGGAGCCTACCAGGTGGAATAGAATCCATTTGAGAAACTCCCTCTAAAGAGAGAGCGCCTCAAATGTGGTCAGCCTTCAGAGCATCCTTGAACAAGGATCTCAAAACAAGCCGTAGCCTTCCCAGCCTGTGGATCGCAGTGGGCTCGAAATTTCGGGCCGCCCCATACACTGCCCTCAGGACATCCCGCGTGTGGGTAGCGGATCCCCCTATACTAGCCTTTCCAAGTCGAGCCTGCGTGGCTGGCCTTGTGCTTCCAGCGCTCGCCAGTTCAGCCCTTGGCACGGCCACGCCAGCTGCAAGCACTGGCAGCCGCAGATGCGTGTGCCGAAGACAACTTGGTAGGTATAGGGGGCTGGGCGTTTGCCGAAAACGGAAGCAAGCCTTAACAAATTGTTCACGACATCCTGGCCGTTGCAACTCTTCGTGCAGTTAACAGCCTTCTGGGCTCACGCGCGCAACGTGCTGCTGCAGCCAACACACGTTCCGGGAAGGAGCAATGATTGGGCAGACGACCTCAGCAAAGGTCGGTTGGCCCGATTCAGCCATCGCCCTGAAAGTCGCGTACGCTTCAGCCTTGCGGCTTGCACTGTCAGGCAGAGGCATTCAGCTGTGTCCGATTGATGCGCCCTGGCGCCCGGAACATCTGGCAGCTGCCTCCAGCAGCCAAGCCTTACTGCATCCCAACATGGATTGCGACCCAATAGCCAACATCGCCCTGGCAACCAGAATACCTGGCTGCGTCGGCCAGCAGTTCTTTTTACCGGGATTGCTGAAAGTGGCACTGCTTCCAGGGCACGGGTGCGCCTGGAGCAGGAGGTGCAATGACCCCCCGTGAAACTCTAAGGCAAGACAATGCGTGTCCTTGCAAATGTATGCAGTGCGTGCATGGCGTGGCAAGCGTGCCCACGCCCAACCAGCAGACCGGGTCTGTGGTCAGGAAAGGGCAGGCTGCAGCTCTGCCCAAACCTGCGTGATCCGGAGACCATGAGCGGTCCAGAGACCAAGTGGTCCGGAGACCGTGAGCGGTCGACTGGAGCGCAGAGTGTCTGCAACATCTCTTTGCAGAGCCTTGTAAAAGGCAGAGCAGGGTGGGTGGGTTTCAAATGAAACAGCAAGTTTGGGTCAAGGCTAGGAGAAAAACGGCCACCGCGTAGGTAGATTCACAACATGCCCTAAACACAAGGGAAAAGAAAACCCTAAGCGTTAAGGCAAGTTGCACTGCTTCTAGCTTGAACCCAAACAAGACCACCCAAAAGAACAAGGCATCCGAAGCGGCCGCAGTTCTTTTTACCGGGAAAGTGGCACTGCTTCCAGGGCACGGGTGCGCCTGGAGCAGGAGGTGCGTTGACCCCCCTTCAGTGAGCCAGCTGGGCCGCCGGCCTCATCACCCCCCCTTTAGAGTGGGGTTGTACCTGGCAGGGCAAGTGTCCGCATGACATTGCACGCGCTTGGTTGTGAGCATACTGTTGCTCGGGGACCGCTCTTTTGGTCAAAGCGGCTTGATGTCGGATGCCTTGTTCTTTTGGGTGGTCTTGTTTGGGTTCAAGCTAGGAGCAGTGCAAACTGCATGTACGTGGCCTTGCGGGCCATCAGGCGGTTTAAGCGGCGTGGTGGATACAGCGGACACTTCCAGCATTTGCTGAGCCAGAAGTGCGCAAGTGCAATTGAAAGTTTTGTGACTCTGCTGTGAAGAGCGTTGCAGGCGTGGGCTGGTTTTGGTTCTGCAGCAGCCATGGTGTAAGCTGTCATGTTGCTAGCAGGTTTTTCGGGTTTGTTTTGGCGCCCACCATAAGCTCTTTAGTAGTAGTAGTAGTAGTAGTAGTAGTAGTAGTAGTAGTAGTAGTAGTAGTAGTAGTAGTAGTAGTAGTAGTAGTAGTAGTAGTAGTAGTAGTAGTGGTGGTGGTAGTAGTAGTGGTAGATGCAGTAGTAGTAGAAGTAGTAGTAGTAGTCGTGGTCGCAGTAGAAGAAGAAGAAATTGTTGTTGTAGTAGTATGTAAAGGCAGCGTATAGTATCCTATTTAATTTGCGGGTTTGGGGCCGATTTACGGCACTTTTTTGGGCAGAAGCGTGAGAGGCCCCAGTGGGTTAGATCGAACACGCGTTGTTGACCAGGCGGATTGTCCACAGGCTCCGCATGGCGCAGATGAAATGGGATGGACACGCGTTCTTCCATCAGCACCCCTGACAAAGCAGTTGGCTCTTGTTTGTCA